CAGGAAATGTGAATTGTTTCACGAAAAGATTTCAATTTCAAACTTAATTAAGAGGGGCAGACTTCCTTAAACATCTATCGAGATAGAGAAGCGGTTAATGACGTGATCAAAGTCAAGAAAGTTCGCATATAACCATTGACAGTATGAACATGAATCTCATGAGAATATTTTAAGAAAGTACTGAGAATATATTTCGAAGAACTATTGAAAGGAAATATTTACAAAAAATATGAGAATATCAATTGAAAATTCATGAAATGCAAAAAGTAAAGATAAGGAACACTGATCAATCTCAGTAATCAAAAAGAGTCGTGAACAGGATAAAACCCTGACCCCTGATAACACAAGTTGTGGATCAGGTGCCTAGAAGGAGTAAACATCCTCTGTTAACATGAACTCGGAGAAATCTTATGAGAAACTATGAAAAGATTTTTGTCGTTGTGCTTTATTATCTTGAGTAGTAAAGAACAATGACGACATAATATGACGTCATATTGTGTACTGGCTAAAACATGTCGTGGGTACTAAGTATGAACAAGAAAATGAATATAAACTTTCTCTGCATAAGAGATATGCCCGTTATGTTTTTTATTAGAACATTTGCATAGAAACGCTTATACCTAGCTTAGTGTGTAAGGTATTCAATATATACAGATATGTTTTTGCACTTGCCTAGTGCTTCAAAGCATTACACAGAGATTTGGCTGTACAAGATGGCTATTTGCCACTTGTCACTAACTACAACAAGTCACCCTGGCTCTAAGTGATTATTTTTTCACATTTCAACTCTTCCAATTCTTTTTTTTTTTTAATATTTTGGATTTCCAACGTTTCGGCTTGAGCATCACTGAAGAGACATAATTTGCATCTGTTGCATCAAAATTGGTACCGTATATGATTTACATAAAGTAACTTTATCCAGTCTCTTGTCAACATGACTTTACCTGACAATGACTCATCAACTGTGAAACAGATCACCACAGAATAAACATTTTGTGTACAATTAGACATTTTGCTAAATATATAAATAATCTTTATGTCACTTTTTTACGTTGCTTTCCGGGCAAGAATCCGACTTTGGGCATACTTTGCTTATTTCAGCCTAACATTCATTTTTGTTTTGTTTCTATATATATATATATATATATATATATATATATATATATATATATATATATATATATATATATATATATATATATATATATATATATATATATATATATATATATATATATATATATATAACATTCTTTCTTGTATTCTCACTCAATCAAATAACCTGTTAATTAAATTATATACAAGGATTTCTCAATTAACACAATCTAGCAAAATGGGAGTAACTCTCATTTGCTTCATTTTTTACAATTGTGTACTCTGTTTGCCTCCTAGATACCCAGGAGCAAAGAAAACGTAAGGCACATTTACTTAGAAAATTAAAGGAGACTTACCTGTAAGGTGAACTTTAATTAGAATTCTCCGAAGCACCAAGGGACGTTGGGTATTACGTGAGATATGCAAGCCTACTCCCAGATCAGTATTTAACTCAATATGTGAATATTCTTGAGTTAAATAAAAATCAATTTTAAAAATGTTAAGTTTTGATTTATTTATAAAAATCACCCTAGGTCCCATGGAAGGAGATCAAGGGCCGGCACCTAATACCCAACGTTCTTTGGTGCTTCGAAGAATTCTAATAATAATATTTAATATATTTACATTGATATTATTGCATTTAGTTTGTTTGCTTAGTACTCATGGGAAGAGGAGGGCGGAAGATTTTCAAAGCATTACTGCATTTTTGCTAATAAATCAATAGAGCCCCACCCAAGCACCAGAACCCCTGAACCAGATGCCATTTTGGAAGAGGAACCCTTTCTCATCATAACTATGTGTTTAGTTTGTTTGATTAATACCAATGAGCAGAGGAGATTTTAAAAGCATTACTTCATTTTCAGTATATGATACCCCCCCCCCCCCCCCCGAACCCCATGAAATTCACAATTTTGGATAAGGTACTCTTGCTCATCATAACTACATATGTATCTTATACTTAATACCTAAGAGTAGAAGAGAAGATTTTTAAATAATTAATGCATTTTCACTACATAATCATCAGAGCCCCGCCCTAACACCAGAATCCCTGACCCAGGGGCAATGAAATTCACAATTTTGGAAAAGGCACTCTTGCTCATTATAACTATATATGTACCTTATACTTAATGCTTAATACCTAGGAGTAGAAGAGAAGATTTTTTAATAATTAATGCATTTTCACTACATAATCATTAGAGCCCTGCCCTAACACTAGAATCCCTGACCCAGGGGAAATGAAATTCACAATTTTGGAAAAGGCACTCTTGCTCATCATAACTATGTACTTAGTTCATTGGTTTGATACTCAGGAGCAGAGGAGAACATTTTAAAAGAAATAATGCATTTTCACTAAGCCCCACCCTAGCGCCAGAGCCCCTGACCGTAGGATTATAAATTTCACAATTTTGATAGAGGGCTCAATGCTTATTACAATAATGCCAACAGTTTGACTGTTTGATGTCCAGGAGTAAAGAAGAAGATTTTTAAAGATAGCATTAATTTTGATGGTTTTAGCCCCACCCCTCGGGCCCCAGGGGGGCAGGTACCATGAAATTCACAAATTTTGTTCCCCTGAACCCATACATGTTATATGTCAGAATTCGTTGAAATTGGTTCAGTGGTTCTAGAGAACAAGCTGAAAATGTTTAAATGTTAACGCATGACAACAGACAAAAACGGATAGCAATAGGTCACCTGAGAAAACTCATCTGTGTAAAAAATAAAAATAAAATAAAACATAAGGAATAGCAGCCCCAATGTTAACGCTGAGTACAATATTAAGATTAGATTTTCGCAAGTTTAATTTCCATGAAAAGTATGGAGATAACAAAGAGTATTCCAGCTCAAAAGTCTATTAATCAATGCAAATTTTGGAACAGAGCAAACACGAACCTCTAAAACAACAGTGTAAATAATGACCTAACAATTAGTATGAAAAACGTCAGTCAGCATTTGACTCAATGATAAATTGTATTTGCTGACAAGGTCATTGTATTGATCTTAGAATTTACGATTTTAAGGGAGATTGCTGATATTCTTGTTTAGCTAACTTGCTTGTCAATAACTTACCTCGTTTCAGAAATTGTTTATACGTAGATCATGCTCTTGCGTATTGAATCAACTGAAAGATATAAACCTCGTATGCAGGTGATGAAGGTACATGGCTGTATAAGTAAGGGAAGTTGACGATAGAAAAGTTTAAATCATCACGTTTATCATAAAGCTTGGTTGCTAGATTACCATTAACAGAAGAATAGACTGATTATTGAAAGTCTAATTACATGTATCACAGAATATCATAGAATTCTTTGATATCATACCTTTTACATTTCTAGGTTGAAAATAAAGAAATGAATAAAAGAATGTATGCAATGAGACAGTACAATTTGAACACTTCCACTGACTCTCGTCAAAGAAATGTAGGTATTCATGAAATAGATTTCTGGTCATGATTTAGTGTACATTTTCTATCTGCAGAAGTTAATGTAAAGTACCACAACACTATCACAACACTACCGCAACACCACAACACTACCGCAACACTAAAACACTACCGCAACACCACAACACTACCGCAGAACTACCAAAACACTACCACAACACCACAAAACACCACAGCATCAGATATCGAAATAGATATACTAAATAAATAAATTGCTTTTTTTTAATAATCTGATTAATAGTAACCGTTAATCCTTACATACCCCCCCCCCCCCAACATACCCCCCCCCCCCAACACATTTACTGTATAAAATAATATTTGAGCATTGCGTATTTATCACTATACAGATGCATTTCGTCACATGAAAACAGAATCATTTTGATGAAAGGTAGCTCAAATCCTCATATATTAGGCTTCCATCATTCTTTCTTAGTGTGTGTGTGTTTTACAGTAATGAGAGTAAAGTATGTTATTGTCAGAAATAAATTTGATAATACACCCTCCTGTTAATTTGAATCCGTTCATATCTTTATGAACAGTTTATTATTGGTCTATAATCTTTTAAATATATACCTAATCTTCGGTTTATGGTTTTGAAACAAAGAATTAAATAAAAATGGTTTTTCTCCCTTTCATTTATATCCCATGCAAAATTACACTCTGATAAGCTAATTAACTTAACATAATATATAATAACATAACATAATTTATCTAATTATTCGTCCTAAAATATATAGAATATATTCAATGTTTTGTCGCTAGATATGGAGTGGGGCAAAAATTTTTGATATTTTATTATTGTGAAATATCACACAAAAATTCTGTCTCAAGAGTGAAATAAATTGCATATCCAACTTCAAAATATTGAATTTTCTATTAATTACATGTGTACATTTTCAATGATTCACCCTTGTCTGTCTTTTCAGTATCATTGGCTGTGTCGTCAGAGTTGAGCGTTTGAGACCTCATAGGCTAGAGACTGTGAGGTTGAAAATATTGTAAACATTAATTTCAACAACAATTTGATAAAAAAAAGAAGGAGTTTTTGTCTTCTTTAGAATAGTTTATTTACTCTTATAACAGGCCAGGGAGTATTTTTTAAAAATATTCTTTGTGAAGGGACGGGCACTCGAGAGTTTTGCCTGGCATCTGATATTCTGTCACATTGTGACAGAACATCACTTTTATCCAATAAATAAATTATAGTATATCACTGTTGAAAATGTTATATATATATATATATATATATATATATATATATATATATATATATATATATATATATATATATATATATATATATATATATATATATATATATATGCATATACATGTTGATATATATATATATATATATATATATATATATGTTGAAAAATTAAAAAAAACTGAGCCCATTGGATTTTTCTTTTTTTATTTTCTATGTAACAAATTTATAGAACGGACATTTATTTTCCGAAAGTCTCAAAGTTCCTTTATATCTTTTTGAATGCCTTAAACACTTAATACCTTTATATGCCCCTATTGTGAATAATATTTTTGGGTATGATTGAAGAATGAGACTGTAACACAGTGATAGTTTGTTAGATATTTTAAATGAAACGGGGCAAAGCTATGTGTTTCTGCTATTATTTATAAACAAAGACTACAGATATGTAAATCTCAATCTGAGAAAAATATACAGTAAAAACTTTTCTAACCCAGACACTACTGGTTCCATTGAAATTTGCCGGATTAGACAACATACCAGATTTGACAATATCTTTAACAATTAATTTTTATGAAAAGTACTTAAAATTTACTTCGCAATAGACAAGATTTCAGAGTAAACAACATCTGGATTAGACAAGTTTTACTGTTCTAGGTACATTGGATTATTTGACTGTAATTGTTATAAGAAAAATACAATTGACAAAAATATATATTTCTTTCAGAACAATATCTTTTACCAAAGTACATTACATTCATTTAACCACCGCTTCGAATTTTGATTGCCTTGTTCTCTATTTTCTTTCCGAGATGGAGGGACATTCCACTATTGTTCTCCACAGCCGACAAGGATTCCCCTTCATTTGATTGTTAATTAACAACTAAATAGTTCTGTAGGGTGCAGGACAGAACTTGGAATGTTGTTTGCGTATCACAGATTGCATGTGTAGAATATACATAATTATATTGTTTACATTCGATTCTAAGGTAAAGGGTAACAAAAAGTGTGATTTTGCAAAGTTGATGCATTTTTTAAAACAAAACCTGAAACAGATGAGGTATGAAGATTAAAGTCTTGTGAGGACTTTTCTACAACTGATGGATTTTGTGATTTATTTTAATGGTAAGGGTACGTTGTTTACCTCTTTACGCTTTAAATTTAGTCAATTTGCTGAAAGACCAAGATAGATTTTTAAGTATTGTAGAAAAACAAACGTCAAACACATAACTGCCACACCAGAGTTCAGAAGAGAGGCGCTATTTTTGTCGTTCGTGTTTGCGTATATCACGTGACTGTGCAATGATCTATCTGTTTCTGGCGTAGTTACAAATCTGGCAATAGGGGTGCTAGTTTTCTGTAAATAAAACAAAACAGAAAAATATATCTTATTTTTCATGCATAAGTCAATATTTGCAAAATAACTATTATACTTTAATTATTTTTTTTTAAAGAATAGCACACATTAATAAGACATTTAAAAGATAGCTTAAAATAAATTCTTAAGTTCCTATTATCCTCATTAAAATCGAATTGGAAGTTTTACATTAAATCAAATGTACAAAAAAGTCAAGGCAATGATTTCAATTAATCAAAATTCTGGGTTCAAATGGCAATACAGAAAGACAATTTAAAGAAAAGCAAATTTCAATTTTTTTGTGATATAGTCTCTTGCCGTTTGTTATTTCTTTACGATAAATTATGGTTATCCCAAAAACCACACATTTTTAAACGTCGAAGTTCATTTGGGGGAATTAATAATTGACAAAAATGCGTTTCAGCGATATCAACAATCTAGCTTCATGAAGGATTAAAACAGTGATCACAGATATCAAGTCTCCTATCTCAGAAGGAATTAAAACAGTGATCACAGATATCAAGTCTCCTATCTCAGAAGGATTAAAACAGTGATCACAGATATCAAGTCTCCTATCTCAGAAGGAATTAAAACAGTGATCACAGATATCAAGTCTCCTATCTCAGAAGGACTTAAAACAGTGATCACAGATATCAAGTCTCCTATCTCAGAAGGAATTAAAACAGTGATCACAGATATCAAGTCTCCTATCTCAGAAGGATTAAAACAGTGATCACAGATATCAAGTCTCCTATCTCAGAAGGAATTAAAACAGTGATCACAGATATCAAGTCTCCTATCTCAGAAGGACTTAAAACAGTGATCACAGATATCAAGTCTCCTATCTCAGAAGGGTGTCACTTTCGGAAATGTTTAGATACTTTGAAATTGAATTAATAATATACATGTATTAATGAAATTTTCGTTAATCAGATGCTCTTCTAAGAGGTAAATTATTGAGCTTGCAAGAATGAAATTTAGGGCTAAATTTCCAGGTAAATTGATATTTTTAGAAACAAAAAATGTTAGATCTTGGAATTGAGACAGGACGACAAAATAGAATACTAAGGGGGAATAGAGTAGGTAGAATATGTAAAATGTGACCTAGAGAATGAGAACCATTTTGTTTTAATTGTCCTCATTTTGAAGAATTTCGTAAAAAATATGTCAAGAAGTTTTATTATTTTTTTTTAACAAAAGCAATCTGTTTTCAAATTTGTACAATTATTAAGTATTCACAATGTCCATGATCTCTTTAATTTAGGGAAACATATTCATTTTGCTTTCAAGTTCAGAAGAAAGTTTTTCTCATAAGGTCATTATCTATGGAAACATTATTATATATGTGTCTGTAATGCCTTAACAACGCCATGCAAAATGCAACACCATTTTGTATTATGATATTGTTGAAATGCGATAAGATGTATGTCTTAAGCAAGAAATAAATAGTGATAAAGAGTTCATTCATTAATATATCGAAATTCGATTGGAAATTTTTGAGACTTTCCTTGAAAAAGTATTTTCTGCTTAAAATTACTCTGTCATTTTTAGAATGGAAGTAAAAAAATCTTTAGTATTATAATATACTGATGTAAATACTACGTTACCACAAAACATGTGTAACATGAATCAGATTTTAATGAATCTGTTCAATTAAGGCCTGCATCTTTTATATCTTATTTATTCACTCATTCATTTCCTTGAAAAAAACATGACTAAAAACTGCTTTTTGAAGTGAAAAAACAAAACAACATTTAAGGTAGTACAAAACACCCATGCAATTTGTTTTAATTCAGTTTTTATCAAGTACAACAGAAAGAATGATACCACTATGTTGTCAATAATCAATGGTCTTTGTTAGAAAAATAATAAGCTGTGATAAATTATCGCCCTATTTTGTAAAAAATAAGAGGCATCCTATATATTGGTCATTCGGGAGCCTACATTGTAGATTGTGTTTATGCCATCTACATGCGATTTGACCGTCTGCTCTTCAATGCAAAATAACTTTTGATCCATTTGTAGTACAGATCTGATATTTGGATATATTTATACGGAGTCTCCATTTTAATGTACAAGAAAGGTCAATGTCACATAAAGAGGTCAAAGGTTAAATATTGAGACGTCATCTACTGATTTTTATTTTTTTTTATTTTTTTGCATTTGATTATTTTTAAGTTGCGAAAATATCTGAAACCGCTGGTTCAATTTTTCTCATTTTGACATATTTTATTTTGGGTTCAATTTCAATCATTCAGAATGATTGAAATTGAACCCAAAATAAAATGTTCATTTTTTGTAAAAATTGAATAATACATTTCTTCTTAAGAGAACTTAAAGTGTAGCATATTTACATGTGAATTTTCAATTCCCGGATGATGTATACTCATTTTTACATCATATTTTACTCAGATATACTGGTATCAATATATTTTACTGAATTTTAGTAACAAAAAGGTTGCCTTTATAAAAAGCATCACACAAGTTTGCAATAGATCGATTGGTAATTTTTAAATAATGCAATTTCTCATGTCAAATGTCTGATTTCACAATTTTCTTACAGGGGGCTGATAAGCCACATTTCAAACTATTTGGGCAAAAAAATGTGTGGTTGAATTTCTTTCCTATTACTTATAAAGAGAGATTTTGTATCCTAGAACAAAATATCAGTTTCAAAAAATTGAATTTGAGGAAAAAATTGACCTTTTTATTGTGTACTGCCTTAAGAAAACAACCTCTCGATCTACACTATCGCTGCATATTTCGAGATTTTTTTGTGGTCATTTTTATTTCCGCAACCCTGAAAGAGTCGCTCGTTCAGATTATAATAAGCTAGCACATCGTGATCGTAAGCTTCTCGTCAGAAACTTTGATAAGCTCTTTTACTATTTATTCGAAAAATAAGATATTTCTTTCAATAAGAGGGATATCTTTCTTTACTTAAGAGCTATCTCTTTAACTTATAGGATATATCGTTAGCTTAGAAAGATATCTCTATAGAAAGATATCTCTTTAGCTTGGAAAGACATATCTTTAAATTACAGAGATATCTTTTTTTTCGAATAGATAGTTAAAGAGATTACCGTAGAAACCTTTGTCCAATGAAAATGATGGGTCTATTCAGTGTTTGAATGTAAAGGTAACTGAGCAGATATTGTTCGAATTTCCTGTCCAAAGGAGTGATTATTCACACAAAACAACGTCTCTTTTGAAGTATTTCAGAAACTGTTTTACTGCCTCTGGTAATTCATTAGATACATACGAGTCGCAATATACCGGATTATCAATATTATTGCGCAGCCCTATTAGATAAAACACCAGCTAGATTAGCTTGAGTCAGGACAATACACTATAGCTAGAATGAATGATATATAATCTAAAATGGATAATACAACGGCTATATTAGCTTGAATGGACAATGCACTAGCTAGAATGGATAATATACCAGCTAAATTAGCTACAATGAACAATACACTAGCTAGATAAGCTAGAATAGATAATGCACCAGCTAGATCACCTAGAAAAAATAATATACATGCTAGATCAATTAGAATGGATAATATGCCAGCTAGATATAGCTACCTGTCTGTATGGTCTCCGCCGTTTTACCGTGGTCTGGGTTTCTTCTGATATCGTTGTAGATATCATGTCACACTTCGTGCTTTTCTTTACCATAGGCTTAACAAGAACGGGTACAAGTTGCGCAGCTTCCGGTCCACACTCGATGGTAATTGTTGAGGTAATACAATCCAAGGTTCGTGCAAGATCCCTACCAAATGAGAAGGGCATGGTTACTGTTGAGGTAATACAACACAAGGTTCGGACAAGATTCCTATTGAATAAGACGAGCATTGTTATTGCTGAGGTAATACAATCTTTAGGGCAAGACCCCTACCAAATAATAAGGGCATGGTTATAGTTGAGGTAATACAATTCAAGGTTCGGGCAAGATCCCTACCGATCGCGAATAAGGAGTGAATGAAAATGATATACCAGGGGGTCAATGTTAAATCCTTTATATATATATATATATATATATATATATATATATATATATATATATATATATATATATATATATATATATATGAATTAAAACTTTAAGCAGGTTATTTAGGTTAATTTGCATAAATATAAATGCTTAATAAAATAACAACTTTAAGGTCTTATTATCGGTCGCAGCAGCGGTCCATCTATTTGTGGTTGTGTTAGAGAGTGCACATGGGGAAATGAGATGAGAAATGAGAAAATAAAATTATTTCTTTATTAGTTCAGTAAAATAATTTTTAAATGATAACATGTATAAAATCATGAGTAAAATATTTCAAAAACTTGCTTTAAACTAGGTTTTAATTGTTGTTATTATGTTTCAATTTCATTATCATTTCTCATCAGAAAATTATTAATTTATGATTATATAAAAAGAGTTTACAATAGGTACTCCCCAACCTGGCAGTGTGTAAGATATGAAAGCAAATCGTTATAATTTTCCGGATAATAATTGTGGTAAAAGTGCATGATGAATAAAAATTGAAAGTTGTTCAAATAGTGAATATTGTTTTGAATATGCTACAGCTGCGAATGACATAAAGATAATTTTTTTCTACATTTTGCACCGCGCCGTGCAGCATAGCCTACTGGCCTACTATGCAGAAATCATGGGCATCGTCACGTGGCTAAGATCCAGGGTATCAGCACGTGGTTCATCTTTAGAGACCTACATATTAATTTTGATGACAATAAATTCTTATCATTTACCACTGACTTTATTACATTGATGAATCAATTTGATGACCAAATGCACTAAAATTTCTATTTATTTCATTTCTTTTAATTATTTATTTATTTTGCTTTGAAGACAGTCTGAAATAAAAATGATCACTCTTCAAGCTTTGAATATCTTGTGCTTTTCTTGCATGGATGCTTTTAAAATTGTGAAAGTACTTTTTGAAATGCAAAATTTTGTTTGCGGCCGATTTGATGCTTTGCATCAATTTTACTTGTTTATGTAACTTTAAAACCATAAGTTATATCTTCACATGGAACTGGTATATATCATTGTCATACATAACTAATTAAATCATTATCTTCTTACCTACATAACTGAAATATATCATCCTCGTTGATCCACTGCATTAGGCGAATTTTGGAGTTCATCTTTCTCTTAAAACAGCTCTCCGAGTATGGCCCGAATTCACGGAAACAAGTCATATAGCGGGCATAACCTAAAGTAGGACGGAATAACTGATAAACTGTTGTATGTGTGAGAAGAATAAACAACGTAAGAATAAGAATCTTAGTAATTAAGATTGAGATTAAAAATAAATAAACAAACATCTGGGTTTCAGGTTTTACCATTGCATCTGAAACCCTCTTCAGTTTTGAATAGCATTGCAATCAATTACTTTTAAAGAGAATGTTTGACACTGGAGATGAAGTACATTTTGATCACAATATGAACTATATATCCAGGGTATAACGTATTTTTTCTATCTTCTAAATGAATCCTTCTACATTTTGAATCAAGGACGGAAAATTCATTTTTAATATTTTAGTACAATTCTGTAAGGATTCGTAAATTCCCCCAAAATATCTAATTTTTCGAGACTGAACAAAGTTTACATATTTTATATGCCTAATCATATCTAGTCGTTGTTTTTGTCAGGGTTTATTTCCATTGACCATTATTCAGTAGGAATTTATTTTATTACAATCATGTATATACACATAAACAACTTAAAGTCTACATGTATATAGTATTGTCGGAATTAATTGATTATATCAGGGACCTATATACTTAGTATATAGGTCCCTGATTATATTATACCTTTCTCGCTTATATCAACATCATAATACAATCGTTTTATGTTCAACAAGATGAAGATTTTATTGGGAGGAATAAAACTTAGGGTGAAGTTCAGGCCATATGATGCACAACACATGCGGTCGATCCCATAAAATGAGGAAAATTCGTGCTCCTCAACAAAATGTGCATCTTACGTTCATAAATACTGTCATCAGAGCAGAGCGCCGAAAGCTCAGATTGAGCGCCCTCCAAATTCATCTGCGTCGCCTCGATTTTTCTGTGTAGAGACATGGGACAAAGTTCCTTCATATTTCTGATACAGGCCATGGCTGTATTGTAGGAACTACAAGATAACACATTCGAATACGTCAAAATTCTATCTGATATGGTAAACTGAAATTCAAATGTTTGTGTAATGAGATTTGTTTTCTGTTTGATGATTATGCCGTAGCTTTATCATTCAGTTTGTTGACAGATGTAGCAAGGAGGTTGTATCAAGTTTCTTTTTCACATTTCAGAAGAGGGGTTCTATTCAGTATTTATCATGTTTTTTTCGTTCATTTTTTCTAAACCGTCTGAATATGTTTAAAACTAAATAAAAAAATCAGATTTTATTTTACCAGATTTTATTTCACCAGAAGTATTTGGAAGTGTTTATGAATAGAGAGACATTTCAGTTAAAAAAGATGAAATCATTTTTTGCATATTTTCATAGGATATACTAATGGATTCGGGAATATGAAAACATAAGAAAAGAAAAATTACAGAAATTTGTATAAAAGTCATGATCACTGATAGTGCTACCTGCAGAATGCCCGTAGTATTTCTACATCCACCCCAGACAATAAAGTCGCACTGCTTTTTTTCATGTTCAACATTTGGGTATTATAATCGGTGAAACATTCAAATGCATACTTCTGTACGGGGCTCGGGCAATAGAGGTAATCGGCACCGAGGCTTCCTTAATTAAAAAAAAAAAAACATGTTCAAATATAAAAACATGCAAGTACACTTTTAAATTGCTATGTAAAAATATCTTTTTTTAATCACCCCCTCCACCTTGAAAAAGAATTATTAGCGAGTACTTGATGAATTCAACTTTGAATTAAATTATAGAGAAGCTTCAGACGGCATTGTCGGAGGGGAAACATTGATAATTATAAACGTGAAATCGGAAATTCGGAAGATGGTTTAAGAAGATAATAAACCTACAATAGGAGATTGATAATCTTTATATATATAACTCAAAACATACACAGATATACAGCATGCAACCCCACGGATCGAAAAACGTAACTACAGTTCTGTGAAAATTCGAGCAGCGTTTTGAATACTAGTAGACATGAGTACATTAAGAAGTCGACATGTCGAATATTGTGACGTGTAGCCTAGCTAACATCTTACAACAGAGAGAGAGAGAGAGAGAGAGAGAGAGAGAGAGAGAGAGAGAGAGAGAGAGAGAGAGACCTGTTTACTGTAGTATTAGCCCTATAAAGATGCTATTCCCCGGTAATTAGCAGGTGCGCTCTTGAAAACAATAAACAGCGGAGCGAACAGATAACACTCTACCAGTTCTAATTAAAGGAACATAGCCTGGGGAGTTATTTACCCTCATATATATCGTGTCAATTTGCTACTCTGTTGGAGGTTTTAAAAAAAAATCAAGATACCCCATAAACTCTGGAAAAACCTGTAAAACATGACATGCTTGTAAAACGAGTTAGTTTTGACTGTCTCTTTAAATTTGACATGTTTGATGTATCATTTTTTTCACTATGCTAACTTTGTTACTAATCAAGCTTTCATAAGTTCAATATAATATAGGTTTAAGTTTGAGAAAAAGAGAACTTTTATTGTTTTTAATGCGAAACATTCACTTAGAGAAATTACAAAAATCTTGTTAAAATAAATCTAAGATAGGATCGCATCCCGTAATTTGCTCAGTGTCTTGTTTTTGTCAGGAGAAACTTGTGGAGATAAATCATGTCCTGATTGATTTATTCCTAAACTTATCGCAATCATTAGGACAGATTAGAGCAGTCATTTAGCCTTATCACTTTCCCTCTTAACACATGTTCAACATCCAGCCAGCTTCTTATTTTTGTCGATTGCTGAAACAAGACTTTAAATGTTATGACAATGCACTGCTGCTGTTATTTTTCTACCGACATTTACACCATTGTAACTTTTTTTTTTTTGTAAGAAGGTCGCTCTTTTAAAACCAGAGAGAAAAAAAACCAAACAGATGCTGAGTCGCAGCGAAAATGTGTATTCTAAAGCGACGGGAGTTAGATATTAATTATGAAAGCTGAGTACGTCCTCGCGACATGTGTTTGTAAACATGGATGAAAAAATATACATGTTTGAAGCCTCTACATGAAAAAGCATGTCCGCGAAAAACAGATGTAATGGTTCTGTAACGTAAACAAATTATTAACAGAGTTCAAAAGATTCATTTTGCATGTAAACATTTGTACAGAAAGTTAACTAAAGCTAGCGGACGCTTGGATAAATATTACAGCTTCCAAAAAATAATCATAATCCAATTTTCTCGTTCCCTTCTCTCTGCTTTTAGATCCAAAATTTTAATAACTCTTTACAGCAAAAAAAAAAAAAAAAAAAAAAAAAAAAAAAAAAAAAAAAAAAAAAAAAAAATTCGAAAAGAGTTTACTCCAAATTTTGCAGGGCCAAAATTCTTAGCAGTAAAGACAATTTAGAGAGAGGGATAATTAAGGTTCAATATTTGTACAGATTTAACTGAAATAAAAACTTATCCCATTAATTAAGGATTCAGCTATGAATCAAAGTTCCAGATTTTCCAGTTGTCATCATTTTCCACTTTGATAACTATATTAGTAGATTAGTTTGGAATAAAATATTTAGTTTTTGCATATTTTAAATCAATTTCTTTATTCCTTTATATATTTTGAAATATATATATCTACCTTTGTATCAAGGTAGTAGATATTTCCGAGGACACTTAACATTTTTAATTTATCTTTCTTTCTATAAATCCCGAATGCATGAATCTGATGTCAAGGGAGACAAACTCCAGCATAAAATAACGTTAACGAATAAAAAAAAAATTCATTAGCTTGAATATGAGCAGTGTTATAATCTTTGTCGTGATATGAAAAATCAAACCACTAAGTCTTTACGATTTATTCCTCTTTAAACAATCCATACCTAAAGGAATAATTATGTTTCAAAACATGTTTTTTTTAAATATAACGGTAGAACCTACCTGTCAAAGTGAAGAACAGAAGAATCAGATGATACATTAAATTTTCCTTTCCCTTCAAAAGCACAGAAATTGAAAAATCTTTTTTGCGCATTTTTGTCTAGATGCACGACAAGTCTGAGCGGGAAAGTTAATCAGCAGGCGATATAGGGGCGCGTGGTCATCCCGCATCAAAATAGAGACGTTTATTGCGAGCTGGCATCCATAGTTCGTCAGTTAAACAAGTTGGATGATAAGCCACGAAGTATCACGAACTTCCAAAATCTTTCGCCTGTCTCATTTAGCCGAAATATCCTAAACATTTGTTTAGCTGTGTGTTTATGCATCTGGATTTGCGATTTCTTTGCATTCGTTACATTTTCTTCTTCTGAAAGAATCTCAAGAAATGCAAACAAAAATCAGAGATTTTTTTTTATTATCTTGCAGACAGAAGAAATAAAATTATTTGTTTAGCGTTTTACCTTAATTTGTGTTTGATTTTAAAAATAATTTTTTTAAAGAGAATTTTGAGCGGAATTTTACTGAATAGTGGATAAATGTCGTTCATTACAGATTCGTATAAAGAAGCAATTTTAGTTGGGGGTGGGGGGGGGGGTACCAAACAATTTCAGTCAGTTTAGTAGGAGGGGGCACTACCAAGCAAAAGTTCCTTGACAAGCAAAAATAAAAGGTCATCAGACGTTATTATTGAGGGGGCACGAGCATAAAATAGCAGTTTTCAATGGTATACTATATATTGGCAAAATTATTTGAGCCCCCCCCCCCCCGTCCCTTCGGTTCCTACGATCACGCCTTGAGAAATTCGTAAATAATTTGTTCCCATTATTGGCATTAACCAAACTTCTAAATGTAAATAAGGTTCAAACTGTTCTCATAATTCATTACAGTTCCAAAGAAATCCAACGAAATAAAAATCTTAAATAAATGTCTTTTTTTAAATGAAAGATATGTAAGGTTTATAAACCCTCTGCTCATGCATATAAAATACTGCTTTAACAGTTATGATTTTCCAAATGTGTTTTATAAGTAAAATAAAAACAATTATACCAAAGTTTGAGGGGTTACATTGAACAAAAAAGTCACTTCAACTTGTCGAATTTATACAGGAATAATAGACATTTATGTCATTCACAGTTATCTCTCTTATCAGAGTATCAATGAACCTTGAGGGGATGAAGTACACATGGTCACATGACTCCGTTTAACTATGTCATAGTCTCTGATAATGTAAAGGCAAAAGATTAATTAAATCGTCAGTACTTGTATAGGATATTAACAATTTGTTTTACTTTAATATCTTTTTTTTTTTAAATATCAAAAAGTTTTAATATCCTTATAATCATTAACAAATATAATGAAATAAACTGATCCACTTCTCTATTTCCCTATACTGCGTGTCCAACTTCGACTCCACATGCACATTGAGTAAGCATATACAGATTGTTCCGATGTAAAGACGAATAATGACCCCCCGTAGAAAAATGTCCAGGGAGGGGGGGTCATCAAAAAAAGACGCTATTTTTTTCTAATCTAATTCGCGGGGAGTAAGTGTTTTTTTAACAATAATTTTGAATTTAAAGTCCACAAAGAGAAGAGAGAACAAGAAGGAAAAATGATTGTTCTTAATGATATTACTATTTGAAGAAAATAGGTTAACTCTGGTAAATGTATACGGACCAAACACAGACTGTCCTGACTTTTATGAAAATGTTTGAGATAACCTTTCTAGAATTTGAAAATGAATATTTTGTATTATGTGGTGACTTGAATCTTGCTCTTAATCCTGATATAGATACATAAAAATTATGCCAATGTTAACAATCCAATGGCTCGTGAAAAGAATGATAGAAATTATGGAAGATTTACAAGTAATTGACAATTACAGACTTCTGAATCTAGATAAAAAAATCTTTACATAGAGGGAAAAAAACCCTGTTAAACAAGGCCGATTAGACTATATATCTTCATTTCTGAAGGTCTATGAAATATATAGAGATAACGAACAGTATTCAAGCTCAAAAGTCAATTAAACAATACAAAATAGGAGCAGAGCAAACACGGACCTCCAAATTATCAGAGGTGGGATCAGGTGCCATGGAGGAGTGAGCATCCCCTGATATAACATATTGTAGATATAAACCCCGTATGCAGGTGATGAAGGTATATTGCTGCACAGGTAAGGGAAGTTGACGATTGAAAAGTTAAAGTCATCACGTTTATCATAAAGCTTGGTTGTTAGATTACCATTAACGTCCTTTTCAAGTAAAAGATCCAAATATGAAACAGATGTGTCAGACTCTGTGGTATCTTTTATCTCAAGCTCACCAGGATATATCATATCGACATAAGAATGGAAATAACCATTGTTAATTGACAATACCTCATCGATATATCTAAAAGTCGAGTTAGGCCAGAGCAAGTGTTTTCTTTTTTTCACGTATAAGATTTTGAACAAATTCTGCTTCATATGAATACAAAAAAAGGTCTGCTAATAACGGGGCGCAATTGTTACCCATGGGAATTCCAATAGATTGTTGGAAGACCTGGTCTCCAAAAACCACATAGATATTGTCAATCAGAAACTCAAGCATCTTTTAGTGTCAACTTCAGAGTACTTGTATGTACAATCAGAATGTTTTTTAACAAAATAATTTTGCAAAAGACCAATGACAAGGTAAGTAAATTTACGAGTTCCATTTTTATTGAAAAATTAGCTGTCAATGATATTAAAAAGCCTGGACTTTAATATATCGTGGGGAATGGTTGAGTATAAAGTTGAAAAGTCGTAAGTTTTTAAGCTGTTGATTTTGGTAAAATCTTGTGATTTCAAATTTTCCAAAAGTTCCTTGGAATTTTTAAGTATCCACATCTAATTTACACCACTTCTCGAATATATTGTTGCACAGTACTCTTCAAGTTTCTCCTTCACTACGTTAATATCTTAGTGAGGAGTAAAGAAAGAGTCTTGGTTGAACATTTACTGGAACCCGCTTTGTATCTTTGTAAGGATTTTTATGAAGTTTCGGAATCCAATACAGACATGGTAATTCAAATTCATTTTGGTTGTTTGGAATATTAAAAATATTCAAAACTGACATATGATTTTAAAGAATTTCTTCCTTAGAAAAGGGAACTATGAGTATAAGTTGGATTACCACTTGTAGAATTAAATCCAAGTTCCTCTAACATGCATTTAATATAATGAGCCTTACAAACAAAGACAATGTTGTTACCTGCTTTGTCAGTACGTACTGATCATGTAATCTATCTAATTCTTTTTTTCACTTCTGGATTATTGAATACAGAAGGATAAATGGTTCTCATTTTGCCCCTCAATCTTTTAATGCGCGATTGTAACATACATCTGATACATTTAATCCATTCTGACAAAGTGTCAAGGTCTTCTTTTTCACGTCTGACCCAACGCCTGGCGTAATCCTCTACAGAATCCATAATATTATGAAATTACGACGCCCGTTAAAGGATCGGGGTTCCCTATATTTAGGACCTTTTAGAATTAGTGATCTAAGGTTCTCATTATTAACTATATTTACGTCACCAGTAATAACGTGTCCAGCAGGACTATAGTTATAGGGTGAAGAAGAACATGAACACGAAGGAGGATTATGTTTCAGATATTCGATATCCAGGCCCTGTAAAGTTTTCTTGTAATTACAAAGTTTGGAGGCGATAGTTGATGTATATTTTTAGGAAATACAAGGTGTAGTCTTCAACTTGAAATATGGTGGAATATATGACTCGACCCTTTTGTGATTAAGAATATTACTTGAATTAACTGCGTCAATTCCTTTGTTGGCATATTGGAGTTTAAGGGGAAAAAAACCGGATTGTTTTAGCTGCATTTTCTTCTGTAAAACGTGGCGGTTTAAAAAGCCTATGATCTGCAATATCCATAATCATAGATCTGAGCCTGTAATCTGGTGTCGAGGAATCAAAAAATGGACTTTCTTTGACCTTTTCAAGTAGACTATTCATAAGATTCAAAGGGCAGAGTAAAGTTTGGTGAGAATGTAATGAAGACCTAACTGTTGATTTACATAAGGTAGTAACGAATCAAAAGAGACATCGTGTTGTAAGACCGATGCCCATGACTACGTTTACGTCTCTTTGTATGGTTAAAAAGTCCCATCACATTTACATTGTTACTCTGTGGACTGGAAAGATTCCAAACACTATCGACATTGTCATTGCATCCATAGGGAAAGGCTGTCCCTAGTTTTCTAATCTAAAATTCTTCTCGTTGTCTACGGAAAGGTGTACTCAGTGATGGACTGTCTGTATGATGGTAAATCTTTTCTAGAATTTTAAAAAAATGAGAAGGTCGTCTGTTTTTTTTTCACCCGACAAGTTGCAACAAAACTATAGCTATTAGAAAAAAATATCCGAATATTTGGCTATCAGAATTATGTTCAGAAGCATTCTTTGCCAAATCCACTTTTTAAGATAAGAGATGGTTGCCCATCTAAAGCTTGTGAAATGTTTTGCCAATCTAATTTCTAGTGAATTATCACTAGCAAATATGCTGATTTCAATAAAAAAAGGACCCGAAAAAATATTCATATTCATGTTTAAACACAGGGAAGTATATGTTATTAATATCTATTTGTTATCTGTAAAGGTTGTTTCTTCCCTATAATATTATGCGTTTAATAATAATTTTGTTTGTTTTTTCTGCTAATTTTATCTTTCTCAATATCAAAACAGAATTTATATGAAAATCCAATAAAAACATGCTTGCATATTGATAATATCAATTCTTAAAAAATCAGATCCAGTAGTTTCCGTGCTATAATGAACAATTTCATTGGATAACAATCTACTGTAATGATACTCCCCAGTCCAGGGATCTTTTTCCCGTTCATTTGTGGAGCTATATGTGAATTAACCAGTTAAAAGCGTTTGTTAATAAATAAATCTAGTAAGGTTTTTCATAAAAAGGGAAAAGGAGATGCATGTAGAGGAAAACTGGGTTACTCTTGATGTTTTACATAAACTTTATTAAAGATTACATTTTAACAAATGATTATTTCGTGTAATATGGTTGTAAATGATTTGCCAATACAGTCTTTTATAGGAAACACTTAAGAAGAACAGGACAAAAGAAGTATTTCTTAAAAGAACAAAAAAAAGCATTAAATATAAGATTGAAAAAATGATATCATTTGAAATAAAAAATGCAAAACACAATTTAAAGAAACTAATGGTTAGATTGATTGCAGTAAATTTGTAATATTGTGGTTTATCAAATGTGTGATACAAACAGGGTGTCAATATAAAATATAAATTGATAATCCCTATTGTAAATATTACAGGATCAATTTATTAAAAAGTGGTCTAGTGATGTGAATAGCTCTCAAAATGACAAATGTACAGAATGTATTTCTTAAAAACCACGTACATATGTGTCCATGGAACCTGATCCCACCTCTGATATTTAGGAGGTCCGTGTTTGTTCTGCTCCTGATTTGAATTGTTTGAATGAACTTTTAAGTTTGAATACTGTTCGTTTTTTCCAAATTTCATGTGCATTTCGATGCAATCCTCTTCATGTTATCCATTTCTAAACCAAGGATTGATTCTGGCAAACATTGATGTTACAGGGGTATCAACAATCTCTTATAAAGTCAACCTTTCACGAAAGCGTATATAATTATTCAATTAATGGTTTTACTACAGTGAAAAAAATATGCAGTGTTTATTATGACTTCATTTTTTGGGACTGACATTGAAATTCATTCAGCTGTTACCAGGACTTAGTCCTTTGAGATATGACATGTTCTCAAGACGATGTGATAAAATTTAAAAAAAAAATAAACTATTGAACATAACATGTAATTATAAAAAGATTACTGATGTTGGACGAGACAAAATAACCGAAGCAATATCAAGATTAATCAAAGAACATGTATACATTATAGTTTTACAGAAAATATATAAAATTCCGTTAACACTTTTAGGTAAAGTCACCTTATCTAATTCACTTAATACCCAAGTTACCAAATAAGTACCTTAAATGAATGATACATTTTAATTAGCTATAACTTAAGTTACATTGACCTAGGCCTTCGAGTTACATCTATGGCCTTCAATTACAATGACCTAGAACTTTCTTAGCAAAGATCTTAAGTAACAATGACCTAGACCTTTGATGTACATGGATGACCTTATGTTACAATGACCAAGACCTTTGAGTTACATGTGTGACCTTAGTTTCAATGACTTACATCTTTTCTTTACATGAAGGACCTAGACCTTTGATTAACATGTATGACCTTTAGTTACAATCATCTAGACCTTTGGGTCATGCCTTTAATAATGAATATGACGGTGAAAACTCTTAGCAAAATGATACAATTGGTTCAGTGACTCTAGAGATATGAAGATTGATACATGTAGGTTCACTTGAAGAATTTCGAACTTTGTCGTTATATTGATTATATATTGATAATAAACTATAAACATGAGTGAGCTTAGTCACAGTTTTGACATATTGCAAATTGTATGAAGACACAGAAGTGTCTTTGTGTTTTCAAAACTTAAATTAGTTCATTTTCTTTGCTTTAAAAAAAGTCTGCACTCGGCACAAGACCATTTATCTTCTAGACTGATTTTTATATTCGTTTGTTTAATGTCCCTTTGATAATTTTTCACCCAAATTGACAATCCACCATTTGCCAGTAGAGGGCTTCAAATTTAGACTTGAACTCGGAAGAACTTAAGTCTTTGCTCAGTAAGGGATCTTTTTTGTGTCAGCACCCACCGCAACACGGGACTTTGGTTTATTCGGTCTCATCCGAAGGAACTCGCAACGTACATGTAAGATCAACTCCTTACTCCACGATTCCAGAGCAATTGCTCTACAACTGTTCCAAGCGGGCAACAATTTTATAATTGAAAAATATTTTAAGCTATAATGACCTTACACCTCAAACAGCCAGCAATTTGTGTATGAAAGTACGGGAAGCTAGACACATGCAATGTATAAATTACATGCCAGAAAAAAAATCACAAAAAGGGAGCACAAAAACTAAAAATGTAAAGGAAGGAATGCACGAGAGGACTACAGACTACCACAGAATTTATTGTTACACTTATCTTTTAAGACCTGGAGAAAATTTAAGTTTTAGAAATTTAATATTATTTGTGATTTGTAATGTTTAAATCTTGTCCTACTTCCAAAATTAATACCAGTACTATTTTATCTGCTTGAGAAATCAGAATTTAGAGGAAGTTTCCTTTCAACACAGATTGATTTTATCGAATTCTCCTCCTGTCCAACTTTTATAGATTTATTGGATGAATCGAGGTATTGGAAGGAAGCCAAAAGTCATTAGGTGATGTCATTTTTTTTTAGCTATTTTCCATTCAGGACCAACGTGAAGTAAGTATGGGCATTCGTTTAAACTAATTTTAATTGTTCAATCTACTTTTTTTAAAGTTTAGATTATCCTGCATTTTGCTTACACCTTTTAGCTCTCATTAGGCTGTTTTAAATTAAAAAAATATTGACCTTGTCAGCAAATACAATTTATCATTGAGTCAAATGCTGACTGACGTTTTTCATACTTATTGTTAGGCCATTATTTACACACTGAATTGTCGACGGATTTTCCCGTTATTTCCCGATCATGACAAGGAGCATACGGCGGAAGTGACCGGTCGGCAGGGGATGCTCACTCCTCCATGGCACCTGATCCCACCTCTGATAAATTGGAGGTCCGTGTTTGCTCTGCACCTATTTTGTAATGTTTAATGGACTTTTGAGCTTGAATACTGTTCGTTATCTCCATATATTTCATGAATTAAATCAATAATCTTTATATTTTACTATCTATACAATTACTTGAAAGGACCGCATGCCTTATAGATGCTGGCTTAAGTTTTTAAGTTCTCGTAACACAGTGATAATTTTATGCGGAAATGCATTGCGTCATAAAATATCGTGAATTACCAATAGGTAAAATGCGGTATTATTGATAATATTGGCAGTGCACTGGAAATTCTAGAGCTGTTTAATAAATATATGTACATTGTGTTTCCAGACATTTCTGATAGATTTTCATGATTTTAAAGGAAAGGGGGTTAAAAATCTCATGTTATTTAATCTTCGCTTTTGTGATAATTACGACGAAATTGTCGACAAATAGGCGAAAAAGACAAGTTTTATATCTACTACAATGTCAAACCTTTACCTTATTTGGCTATTGTTATAATTGCGCACAGTGGATCTTACCATGAGCATATGACCAATCATTGAATGAATTTCAAGGAATGTTGGTCTATTACCTGTTTATATTATTTCGTGGTTTAGGTTAAATTATAATGCGATATCAAATGGACTGCAAAAAAAACAATTGAAAATAATTCTTATGAAAAAAAAATGTTATAAATTGCAATAGAAGGATATTCTAGTCATGCTCTCAACAACAAAAAAAGCACTAAGTAAGTTTTTACTTTATACTTTTTACTGGCGCCAAAAAATGCTATTCCAAGGCAACCATGTTTATTAAAAAAAATACTTATTGAAGAAGTATAAAGGAATACTAGAGAGATTACCCGGTAAAGTACATTTCCAATGAAATACCGTGATAAAAAATTTAACTTTACATATCTTTTCTGTGTACCATGTCTCCACGCGCTAGTCCCTTCCTAGCTAGTTTACCTTCCTATTAACAGTCTCGCTTTAGTCTCACTTAATCTCGCCAGAGCTTCTGCGGACTCTTCGGATATTATAATTTGGAAAAAACCGAAAAAAGGGTTCCGAACATTTTGGTAGGGGTGAAAGTAACAAACTTAAGGTAAAAAAAAAATTACAAAACACTGCTAAATATATATTCACATATTTTAATTAGTCATTTAAGGCCTTCTTTTCTGATGCTTAAACACTTTTTCAAGATATCCTTCCTAATTCATTTATTACAGGATTGGTTTTCTGGATATAATGGAAGGGGAAGAACAGAAGAATGCATTAACTAGCATAGAGGCTTTCATGGAGTTCTACTCCAGAGTACCGCGTCCTAACATGATTTTTTCCGTCATAGGGGACTCTGACAAATTGATTCCGAAACAATGGCCTAAATCAAGATTTCAGCAATCTTTGATCTATGCAGCAAAGGCTGCAGGGGGTTTGTATTTATTATAGTTATTTTCTCATATCGACATTTCAATGCATTTGCCACAGACCATGGTAACTTATATTTTGTTTTAGTATTTTTTGTTAATATGAAACAGCACATATTTACAGGCATGCAGATTAAATTTTTATAAATATAATTATATACATTGTACAGAGATTTATCTTTATATTGACATCAGATTGTTGGATATTGAGCAAAGGAGAACCCCTGACGGTCTCCAAAATTCTCCGAGAGATGATGGAAGAGTACATTTACCTAGAAAAACCTGTCCGTAAAGACATCCGACTAATATCCATACCTTCTAAACCTGTCACGGACACAGGCTTGTACTTTGATTTACCAGAGGTCCTAGAAAACGATTGGGACCAGTACAGAAAGAGAAAGGTAGCATCGAGAATGTTTTTTTTTTTCAAAACTACTTGTACATCAAACACTTTTAATGCTCTTATCTATGTTTAATATAGCTTTTACTTTTTGGCATGTATATTTTCATCTGATTTAAAATGCGTTGGGCCTGTTTTCATCCTCTGTTAATCAATTCCCGCACTGTATATGCTGACTGTCTCCATTGTAGATAGGTTTTTATAATATTGAGAATAAGTCGCTTTCTGGACAGGTTATAATATCAAAATACTAAAGAAAACTATAAAAAACAAAAAAGTCAATTTCACTTGGATAGATTTATCATATACCCGATACTATAAATGAGCGATGAAAGAGTTCTTGTTGTCTTTTAAAACTACTTCCAATTCTTCAATAATTCTTATATTATGAGAAATGATTAACATTTTATTGTTTAAATCACTCAACGTCAGATACAATGTGTCTCTTAATGGTAGTATTTATTTAAGGAATGAGTAAGTACATACAATAATTGTATATGATATTTTTTAAAAAGATTACCGAACATATTGATCCCAGGTCCCTCACTTGAATTCATTTCAGCGTCTTATTCCAGCAAAATAAGTGACAAGAAAAAAGTTAAAATGACATGTACTTCTCATCAAAACATGAAACGCTTGCCAAAAAGAAATGAATTTTTGTAAAAATAAATAAATAAATAAATAAATAAATAAATATATCAATCAATCAATCAATAATAAAAATAAATAACAAGAAACCCATGGGCCATATCGCTCACCTGGGCACTGTGGCTAGGAAAGAAGCAGAAATTAGCTCAGTATTGAAAAGTATAAATGCATAAGTGCCCCCGACCTACCACTAAAAAATAGGAGGGGTATGATTTGAACAAACTTGAATCTACACTAAGGATTCTTACACATTTCTTTGCCGAACTGTGGCTTTTTTCCTATAAGTTTGAAACTTTCATTGTGGTCCCACCCTATCCACGGGGGTCATGATTTGAACAAATCTGAATCTACACTACCTGGGGATGCTTCCATATAACTAATCATGGCTAAAAATTCCTATGTATTCCTATGTATAACTTTGCTCGTCCATTGTGGCCCCATCCTACCCCCGGGGTCAAGATTTGAACAAATCTGAATCTACACTACCTGAGGATGTTACCTTATAAATATAACCAATCATAGCTTTGTTGTTTTTGAGAACAGGATTTTTAAAGATTTTTCCTGTGTATTCCTATGTGAAACGTTGCTCGTCCATTGTGGCCCCACCCTACCCCCACTGGTGATGATTTGAACAAACTTGAATCTACAATACCTGAGGATGATTCCACATAAGTTTCATCTTTTCTGGCCTAGTGGTTCATGGGAAAAAGATTTTTAAAAGATGCCATTAATTTTTCACTAATTTGTAATTATCTCCCCTTGAAAGAGGGCATGGCCCTTCATTTGAACAAACTTGAAACCCCTTCACCCAAGGATGCTTTGTGCCAAGTTTGGTTGAAATTGGCCCAGTGGTTCTGGAGAAGAAGATGAAAATGTAAAAAGTTTACAACGACGACTAAGACAACGACAGACAACGGGCAAATTTCAATCAGACAAGCTCACTTGAGCCTTAGGCTCAGATGAGCTAAAAAGTAAAAATATGTTAATTAAATCAGTCTAATCATGTCATGAAATTTATAATTTATTTTCAAGATATATATGTAAAGAATGTATCAGCTTATTTGAAGATCAAATGTCTTTGTATTTCCATGTATGAACAAGTAAGGTTACTTTTCCTGACCTTATTCGATTGATGTTACAAAATTAATTTGATCGACAATATCAAAGCAGAGTTTTGTCGCCTGTACATTTTCTTGTCAGCGACAATACGTACCTACTCTCACCTTACATATAAGCATTCATCGGTACATATTGACACGAGCAAAAATATTTGCTGAAATTATTTTTTCTGTGATCGGCTTCGACCAATCACTGTTAATTCCATATGAGGCATCCGGCAGATTTAACTATCTGCGCACACAATACTCCCTAGCCGCACTACTTTGTTGACTATGCATTGACAGCTTTATATATATCTTTCGGGACATGTCAAGTACTAACGAGCATTATTTTGATACGGTTACCTTGAGATGCAGACATTTACTCGTTACTTGACTAATTTTTTTTTTTTTACTGTTTTCTTTACATTCGTAAGAATTTCATTCGGAAGAACACTTCCCTCAAGAAAAAAAGTTTATTGGTTCATTGTGTTTCGAAAAAAAAAAATATTCATGTAAAATCGTATTAAGAAAGCGCGACGCACGTTTCCTATTCTCTTTATAGCATTAGACAATATTATATATGTTTAAATTTAAATTGACTAAAATTAATATTTTGCTATGAGTATATGTATGTACATATGTTTAATTTTACATTATTTCTCAACTTAGTGTGACGTGTAAAGGATAGCCCTATTAAAATATTTTTCTAAACATACCAAATTTAAATTAAAGAACATATTTTAACCTGACATTGTTGTTATATAGAGTAGTGTGACCACATGATGTTGCCTTTTAGATAATTATTTCGTGACAGAAAAAAATGTGCTAATGTTGGCATTTTTTTGAAATAGGATGAGAGACATGAGATCAAATAGGCTAAACCTCTGTAAAGAAAAATAACTTTGCAGATAAATTAACTATCAATTTCTTTTACAGAGTTCTGAATTAAAGTTGCAAGGAAATAAAACTTTAGTACTAATGCAAGGATTCTGTTCATTTCTTCATGTAGTACATTTTGTAACCTTTTTAAGCTCATCTGAACGTTTCTGATCACCTGGTGTCCGGCATCCGTCCCTCTACCTGTCTGTCCGTCCGTAACCTTCATATTTTCAACTTCTAATCAAGACCCACTGCACCAATTTTAACCAAAGTTGATGCAAAGCATCTCTTGGTAAAGGGAATTCTAAATTGTAAAAATGAAGGGCCAGGCCCCCTTCCAATGGGAGATAATCAAGAAAAGGCAATAATTGGGTGGGGTAATTAAAAAATCGTCTTCTCAAGATTCACTAATCCAGAAAAGTTAAAACTTATGTGATAGTTTCCTCAGGTAGTGTAAATTTTTAATTGTTCAAATCATGGCCCTTAGAGGTAGGGTGGGGCCACAGTAGGGAATCAAATTGAAATATACAGGAAAAATCTTTCAAAATCTTCTTCTCAAGAACTACTGGATCAGAAAAGCTGAAACTTATGTGGTAGCTTCCTTAGGTATTGTAGATTCTACATTGTTCAAATCATGGCCCCTGGGGGTAGGTTTGTGCAACAGAACAGATCAAATATACAGAAGAATACATGTATTGGGGGGGGGGGGGGGCTGATGAAGAACAGCAGAACAGCAGGGCTAAAGTGACTCAGGTGAGCATTGTGGCCCATGGGCCTCTAATTTACTTATCAACAGGATTAGTAATTATGTTCAGAAATATTTCTAGCGAAGTTAAATGTAGGTCTAAGAAACTAGTTTAAACGACCTTGTACGTAATTTGCTTAACGAACTCCAAATGAATTATGAGCCGTTGTGCCATACAATTCGATACATTCTATGAGATATAACGTCATTGTAGGTTCATGCAAATGGAGGAAATGATATTTCTTGTTATATTATGACTAATGTAATGTGTCAAGCACTTGTTTTAAAGATCATCATAATGGTAAAATTAAAAAGACATCTAAACTGAAATCGGTAGAATTTGAAATTTCTTTATAAACGATAATATGCTGAAAGTCAACAATGCTTTAATTAGACAGAATAGGAGTCGCGCTTTCTTAAATCGATTTGACTTGAATATATTTGTTGCTTTCCGAATACCAATGAATGAATAAACTTCACACTTAAGGGAAGTGTACTTCCGAATGAAATAAAATTCTTCCGCATCTTAAGATTATTCACTATATAACTGAATAAACCTTTGCGTCTTAAGGTAAATGAATCAAAATATTCCTCGGTAGTACTTAACATGTTATGAAAGATTTATATGAAGCTGTCAGTGCATAGTAAACAAAGAAGTGCAGGGCGTAACGTGTGCGCAGATAGTTAAATCTGCCAGATGCCTCATATGGAATCAACTGTGATAGGCCTAAGTCGATCAAATAAAAAAATCGTTTGCAAGGTTGACTAGGTACATGCTTAAATACTTAGGTTTTTTTTCCTTGCAACTTTAATTTAAAACCCTGTAAAACATTTGATATTTAATTTATCCGCAGTTATTTTTCTTTTCAAAGTTTTAGGCCATTTGATATTATGTTTCTCTTCCTATTTCATTTAAAACAAAAAACACATCCACATTATAATATTTTTGAAAAGGCAACATAGTGTGGTCATACTTTTTATATCACTACAATCTCCTGTACATAGTGTGGCCGACGACAATATGTAATTTCACAAAAATCTCAATTTCACCAACAGATCTGCTAAAAATAAAATGACCTCTCAATTGTAATAACTTGAATATTATTTTACTATTATGTTCAAATTTATAACCTGTTTATTTGATCAGATTAAACTGATTTTGTGTAGTAAGTAAGCTTTATCCTCAACCTTATGTTTAGCTTAATACATGTATTTTAAAAAGTATTTTGTATAAACGAGTGAAACTTTAAGAAAACAATATCTTATAGTAGTCTTGATATAACTTTTGTATCAACTCTCTTATCTGTACCTTTTTTTTAATTATTATGTTTGAATAAAACAAAATACTTTTTACTTGTGATGTTCTAGACTTTAACATCAGAGACACGTTGGGATGACAGTTTTTATGTTGATCTGTTTATCCCTTCCGTCGGTGAAGACTACCTTGAGTTTAGGTTCGAGCTAGAAAGAACTTTGGAAAGACCGGCAGAGAAAGGTAACATGTCCATAAGGAAATCCTGTTGCTTAAAATAACATTTTTTTGTTAATTTGAAATGAATAATTATTGCACAATTTCAAGATTTCTTGTTTTGCTATTTTAATCATCATGACAAGTTAACATTTTTCTTAAATGAAATATTAAAGTCAATTTGTGATCAATAAATCCAAAACAAATAATATCTTTTTGAAGTAAATGATAACAAAGTTCTGGAAATTGATTTTTGTGAGAAAATTATTTTTTTTTTATTCTTTCTATTTCTAAAACTTATTTATGCTTACTTATTCCCTCAGTAGCATAAAATTCAAAATTTAACATATTGCAACTCTTTCCTGTATTGTAAATTGAAGTGAATAGAGAGTGCCGTCGGTACGCTACTTAAACATTGAATTCTTATTTTTTGAAAGATATAGTTTCATAACTGCAATTGTGTATACAAATGAATTGAATACCGCGAAAATAATTTTTACACTTTGTTAACATTTTTTAACTCACTGCGTTGTCTTTTTTTGTGTGATTTTTTTTTCTAAATCTTTTTATTATCCTTCGGGTAAAAAACAATGAATGGAATAGCCTTTCAAATAGCTACTACGCTTACATTCTTCAACATGAGCATGAATTTTAATTTTCCCTGATAACGTTGCACTTGCACGGCGTTCATCATTTGTGACGTCAAGATAATATTCATTACTTGCCCTTTTGACCTCCCCGTCCGTATAATGGTGCAATATTTACATTTGTCAATGCCTTTCCTTATATGACAATTCGAAATAAATTGACATTCAATTTTAAATACCATGAAGTTAGTCATTTGATAGGACTTTCTTGCTAATGGAAAGCAAACCGCACAAGATTTGTGTGCCTACGAGGACTAAGCATCCCCTGTTGAACGTTCACACTTGCCGTGAGCCTATAAAATTAGTCAAGTAGACGGAACATTCCGTAATCAAATCTAGTGTAGAAAAAGGCCCAACAATTGATATGAAATAAGTCAGCCAAATTACGACCATGCAAATGATAGGTTATATTGCTAACAAGGTCAATGTAACGACCATATAAAATACGAAATGCTGACTTTAAACCAGGTTGTTGAAATCCCTGTATTATCAACTTATGTGTGTAAAGCCTAATAGGGTTTAAAAATTTATCGAAGACAGAGCACGTTCTTGAGTAGCGAGTAAGGGAGACAGAAATACCATATGCAGGTGAAAGCGGAATATCATTGCATTAATAAGGAAAGTTGACGATGGAAAAGCTGGTCATCTCGTTTGTCATACATTCTAGTTGTTAGTTGGCCCTTATCGTCTATAATCGGTAAAGCATCCAAATATGAAACAAAGAATCGGTGGTGTCTTTATTCAAGTTCAATGGGATATTTTGAGTTGATGTATCAACATGATGTAGTCAACTATTGTTAACTGATAAAACCTCGTCGATATATCTGATAGTCGAAAAGACATTAGGTTATCTTACAATTTAAATAAATGGAAATGTACGAAATATGGTCAATGTTTCGAAAAGTTTCCCTTTCTCGACTTTCAACTCGAACTAACACAGTTTGTTTTCATGTTTTCTTAGTATCGAAAATACAAATATGTTTTAAAAATATTTTATTATGATATAATTTTTTGGTAATGATTTCAGAAAAGAATGCCTTAGTTTTTATTCTTGTGGAAGGAGATTTGTCGGCCGTAGATCATGTAAAACAAGCCACTGAGAATGGTATACCTGTCATGTTTGTCAAAGGAACAGGCGGGTTGGCGGATCTCCTGTCGATTTCTATGTAATTATACTTTAAATTTTATCTCTTATGGAGCCGAAAAACATCTGCAAATCATTAAAATTCAAACTTAGCAATTAAAAAGTTATATTGTTTAACTAATCTCATTTATAAACGTTGCTTTCATTTGATTATAATTATAAGTACATCATATGATCCACTTGTGAAATTCAGTTTATTTTATGTGGAAATTTCCCTTTTGTAGAAATAATGCTATATGATTGAAAAGTCATATCTGTCTATCATGAAGAAATCAACTTTTTAGGGATTTGCAAAATAAAAGAAGGGCTCTTAATTTAAAAACGTTACTAACCTTCAAGCTGTACTTGAAATTGAATTGGAGGATTTTGCAGTTGATAAATGGAATTCAAACCATCTTTTTAGGGAATTGTTGAATGAAAAAAAGGCTTTGGAACTGAGAACAATGCTTCCAACTTTATTTGGAATTGAACTGGAGAACACTGAAATAGACGAACTTGACCAGAGTTTGAGAACTATCTTAAGAAGATCGTACTTAGTAAGAGAGTTTACTTTTTTTCCACCTGATACAAAATCCTCTAACTATCATCATCTAAATAATCTCAGTTTCATTGCAAGCTAGCCTTTCCTTTGTACTCATCATTGTATTGTGATCGGCTTCGGTCGATCAATGTTGATTCCATATGAGGCATCCAGCAAATTTAAAATCTGCGCACACATTTTGCCTTGCACTACTTTTTTTAACTATGCACTGAGAGCTTCATAAGATGTTAAATACTAACGAGGATTATTTTGAAATAATTTACTTCAGATGCAAAGGTTTATACAGTTGCATGGTAAACTTACATTTTTCTTAACTTATGTAAGGATTTTGTTCGGAAGTACACTTCCGAAAATAGAACTTTTTTTTTTTTATAGAAATCAAAATAGAATTAAGAAAGAGCGACTCCTATTCTGTCTATTTAAAGCATTGTGGACTTTCAGCATATTATCGTTTATAAAGAAGTTTCAAATCTCACCGATTTTAGCTTAGAAGTATTTTGAAATTTACCATAATGATTATTTTTAGAAAAAATGCTCGACACATCTCTTAGCCCTAGCATAACATGGAATCACATTTCCTCCATCTACCTACGGTGACGCTCTCTCTAATTATAGAAAGTATCGATTTATTTTGCTCACGGCTTATAATTCCTTTGGAAATAAGCGGGGAACGATTATTCAGCAAATGATGTACAAGGTCGTTTAAACATTTTTATCCTTTTTTTTTTAAGGATATCCCTGAACATAATGACCAGGAACGTTGTATCGGGGTGGGGTGTGGGGAGGGGGTCGGGGTGGCCTGACCCCCATATTTTTCAAAACGTAAATGTTTTACTATTGAAAATGTTATTGAAAGGCTGATTGCTCCTATCAATTACTTTTTGACGTTCACAGTTTAATTATGAAAATCTAAGTTATCCCCCCCCCCCTCTTCCGCACAAACACACACACACTTTCAAAAACGATTCTAGGTTCTTGATTACTAATTCTGTTAATAAGAAAAAGTCGGTTACAAAATTGATTCGTTGAGTCAAGGAGCAGAATACATGCATGAAAACTTAAGTTTTACTTCCTTGCAACTTTGATTAAGAACTCCGTAAAAGATTGACAGTTAATTTAACTGCAGGATGTTATTTTCTTCATAAAATTTAGCAGCCCATTTGATTTCATGTGTCTCAGCCCCCCCCCCCCCACGTCAACAAAACAGCCTTCTAGTTACATTTTCTAGAGGCAGTTTCAATTGTAATTTGGTACGTTAAGAAAAAAATTTTAATAGGGTTATTTCTTATACTCTTTACTCAGTTTAGGAAAAAAAATGGTGATATTATATTGCAACAGCGCACTGATTTGACAGATTGGATTTGTACAGAGTTGTTGAACCTGATTATTGTTGACATTTGTAGGAAAGTTGAGGTGAACTGGTATATGTGTATATTTATTTGACATAGCAGGAAACTGTATAATTCATGCTTTTTAGGGGTAAGGATATGGAAGTATAGGTTGGGCCTTTTGAATTTAGACTTAAAATGACTTTTTAATTTTATTCTAAGAAGAGCCAGAGATATTATATTTTCAGTACTTTTAGGAGCTTCTTGATTTGTTGAAATTTGCTGTTTGTTTAAATTTTCGATAAATTTGAAAATTTATTAAAATTGTTTTCATACGATTTAGGTAATTTATACATTTAGCTGAGGAAGCTGGTGTATTTCTAATTTTGCTGTTGCTTTATAATGGTATTCCGACTTTGAAATTTTCTGGAAATTTACTAGTGTTAGAAATTGATTAGGGAACTTAGTTCAAGGGATTAAGTTTTAGGTTTTCGTTTTTACTTTCATCCAGGAGGTCTGGGAGAAAGTTTGAGAGTTAGGAATTTAAACTTTGGAGATTTACTTTTCGAGCGTTAGCACTGTGGGAGGAGTTGGTTATATACGGATAGATGTAGGTGACTAGACTAGAGAGAGAGAGAGAGAGAGACTGAGACAGAGTTTGTTCTTGTTTATTTGAAAGATAATCGTTATAATAAATTGTAAAATTGTATTTTGTCTCATGTCAAATACAGAGATTAACAAGGTGTTCTAAAGTTGAAGGCTTCCAACCAAGTTGAATATGCGGGATAGTTAAGATTAAGTCAGAAGATACTGAGTATTAAGAGAATTTTAGTGTCTTCCTTAAAATGAAATATGTGGAGATAACGAACAGTATTCGAGCTCAAAAGTCCATTAAACAATACAAATTTTGGAGCAGAGCAAACACGGACCTCTAAAGCATCAGAGGTGGGATCAGGTGCCATGGAGGAGTGAGCATCTCCTGCCGACCGGTCACACCAGCCGTGTGCTCCTTGTCATAATCGGGATATAACGGAAAAATCCGTCGACAATTAAGCATGTAAATAATGGCCTATCAATTGGTATGAAAAACGTCAGTCAGCATTTGACGTAATGATAGATTGTATTTGCTGACAAGGTCATTGTAACGACCATAGAACCTACGAAGTAATGACTTTAAAGGAGACTGCTTATATTCTTGTTTCATCAACTTGATCGTCAATAATTTACCTCGTTTTAGAAATTGTACATACGTAGAGCATGCTCTTGCGTATCGAATCAACTGAGAGATATAAACCCCGTATACAGGTGATAAGGGTATATTGCTGCATAGGTAAGGGAAATTGACGATTGAAAAGTGAAAGTCATCACGTTTATCATAAAACTTGGTTGTTAGATTACCATTAACGTCTTTTTCTATTAAAATATCCAAATATGAAACAGATGTGTCAGACTCTTTGGTATCTTTTATCTCAAGCTCACCGTTTTGCTGCACTATTTTGTGTGTTTTAACAAAACAGAATACCTTTACTTGTTCTTTTTCATTTTCTTTCAATTTAGATATTTTTCTCTTCAAACGATAAAGAGAATTTATTTATGTAATGTATTTCTTTTAGCTTGATGCCTTTGACGTTTTCGGAAAGACTGAGGAACAATTCGCAGCTTCTGTGGGGGAGCTGGTGCAGAAATCCTGGTTCTTAGAAAACATAAGTCCTACTGAAGATGAAAGATACAGAGAAAGCAGTAAGACATTACATTTTCTCTAAATAATATTTTCACAAAATATATACTGTTATACAGCTTAAATGACATTCTATGGTCGAAACAATGACCTTGTTAGCAAAAACAAGCTATCATAAAGTCGAATGCTCACTGAAGTTTATCATATTAATTGCAGGCCAATTTTTACACACTGAATTTTCTAAGGGTTTATCGGATTACCCGATCATGACAAGGGGCACACTGCGGGTGTGATCGGTAGACAGGGGATGCTGATGTCCGTGTTTGCTTTGCTCCCGAATTGTATTGTTTCAGTTGACTTTTGAGCTTGATAACCAGTCTCGTCGAACAGTCAAACGTGGGTATACCCTCAGTCAAGGGTTTTCCGTCCCGTCATGCAATGCGCAGGAACAGTAACTCTTGCAGTATCCAATATAAGCAAACTTGCCTATATGATCTATCTTAGGGAAAAAAGATCGATAATATTGGTATTTCTGCTATGAACTTGGTAAAATGTCAACAGAAAAAAAAAATCAACAGGATAAGTTTTTCGATATTTTGAATTTATATTTTAGGAATAAGGAAATATTTTCTGCCATTTCATGAAATAATTTATTATTTTGTGTGACGTTTCAATTTAGGTTTTTTAAATTATGAAATTTAAAACACAAGATATAAAAGACAATAAATACGATAAATTGCATTTGAATTTTTATTTTAAACTGTATTTTTGTTACACTTCCTGGGCATGATTATCGATAACACAGTTTAGTATTTAGTAGCTATAATCAGTAGAACATTTATGAAACAATTATGGCAGACCTTTTTTGTCTTTTATTTCGTGTTGAACAGGATATATCGAGCTGATATATTAATAAAATGCTATTGTCCATTGATAAAACATCGTCGATATATCTTAATATTATACTTTTATGTAAATTTGTTGAATGTGATTCGTCGAGAAACATTTGTTAAAAAACACTATTACCCGCTGAATACTGAAGCCACGCCCTCCAGCATAGCAACAGTCGGAAATGCTTGACGACGGGTGATATTCTAAAAAAAAAAATAGTGACTGCGCAGAATTTATGCGCGCAAGATTCACTGTTATATGTATTTGTATAAAACATTCAGTATAAAATAATAAATATTGCATGAGGTTGAGTGTAACATTGAAAATTTTCACTCCTCGGAAAACCATTGTCAACCTCGACTGCGCCGCGGTTGACAATGGTTTTCTTGGGGTGAATATTTTCAATGTTACACTCAACAATATGCAATATTTATATATTATTATACTTTCATGTTAAATACTAAAATCTGATTGGTTTAAACGCATTTAACAATCCGTAATGTTACCCTCAGCGTTAGCAACACACTTGACAACGGGTAACATTACGAAAATATCACATGCGTTCAAATCATGCGCGTACGGTTCACCGTAGAATTCTCAAAACGTCGGTTGTGCGTTTGAAAGAAGCCGAATAAATAACGTAAATAAAAGCTTGTGTCCGATGTAGCTTACTTGAAAACAACAAACGACAGACGAAACATCCTTGCGAGTGCAAACTTTAGATGATAAAGGACTTTTTGAGTAGCAAACAAACAATAAAGAGGTTGGTAAATCTTTTCCGAAGCTTTCTTATTGAGAAAAATAGAAGCGGGGAGTTTGAAAGCTTTCTAAGCGTGAACTTAACGATGATCTCCGAATTTTTTATATGACATCCGAAATCAATAAGACATTCAGTATAATAAAATAAATAGTGCACGTTTTTGAGGGTAACAGTTGAAATTGACACCCCTCGGAAAACCATTGTCAACCTCCGCTGACGCGTCGGTTGACAATGGTTTTCCTTGGGGTGTCAATTTCAACTGTTACCCTCAAAAACGTGCACTATTTATATATTGTTTTGTTGCAGGCCACAGCAAGATTTGTTTTTTCTATGAAGAAGTTTTTGAATAAAATCTGCTTCATTGGAATATGGTATATGTCGGCTAATAAAGGAAGACAATAAGTACCCATCGGATTTCCAACAGATTGTTGGAATAATTGGTCCCAAAAACTAAAAAGGAATTATCAATGAGGAGTTCCAATAGCTTTTTTAATATCATGATCAGAATACCTGTATTTGTATAATGTCTCAATTGAACTTTATTCATTGACCTGTGTGCAAATTATATGACCTTACTTTATTGAATTTCACAGTCAATATCACGATTATAAAATACGAGTATATAGATATAGAATCATTCATGTGAATGTTTATGAAGTTTTTTTTGTACGGAACCTCACGTAAAAATATAAAATATGGGAATTAGCCGAAAATAAACAAGATAAACTTATATTCTACCTTGTCAATTTGGACATGGTTGTCTTTGCACAAATCTAATATTATTTTTTAAGAAAAAATGTACGCCTCTAAAGATTAAGTTTAAAAAAGCTTAAGTCACTTAAAATCATCAGGGAGGAAAAAATGGCCAACCAGTGAAAATAAAAATGGGGCATGACACATCACAAAATATAAATAGATGGGAAAAAGCTTGAACTGAATTCTATATATATATATATATATATATATATATATATATATATATATATATATATATATATATATATATATATAATCTAAGAAACAATGATTGTTTTAGATTATATCAAAATAATCATGATCTTTTGATTTAATAGATTAAATAAAATTCTTTTGAACATGAATTTGGTCATCTAACTGAATAATACAACAATCCTTTTCATATAATACATATATAAATCATCCTAATACATGTTTGGTAAAATATTCGAAGCAAGTTCTATCAGAATTGTTAACTAGATAATATGTCTGGAATACAACGAAAATTATATACCGAATAAATAGAAAAGTGAGGACGGAAGTTTTATTTCAATTTAATCACACTATTTACTTTATTTCTTGAAAGAACAAGCTAGAGGAAAAACAAACAAAGAACAGTATCGTATAAGCTCTTATGCAATGGAGGAGAAGTGGAAAAGGGAGACAATCACGTGGCATATGGCAAAACAAGAATATGAAACCCTCGGCTTTACATCCTTCTCGTCGCCTTTTTCACTTCCGCTAGATTTCTTCTTCCGATTCTCTAAGTTTTTGGAATTGAAGAGAGAAAACCCCTCCTCAATGGAGGTGATGAATGAAGCGCAGGTATCAACCTTCTCTTTAAAGAAATGGAATGTTTTTTTTAATAATGTGAATATATTGCGTTTCATATCATATGTTTATACTTATTTCAGAACTTGTTAAAGACTGCTCTGTTAACCAATAGAACTGACTATATAGAAGCCCTTCTGGACTTAAATCTTCCATTTTCATCAGATGAAATTTGCGAGCAAGATGGCAATCATATTAGTGATCTATACAAGGTCAGTTTAATATGTATTCTATATGCGATATTTTTAGAGTCAGACTACACGTTCCTCGAAAATACATAATTTAATTTCCCAAAGAATTTGTCATTGAAGTATTGCTACTTAAACAATTTTTCACACACAAAAAAAAAAATGAGGAACCTTACCAGCAAGATACAAGAGGGTGATATTTCTTATGTTATCCTTATGGGTAATCTTTTAAATTGCCAATGTCACAATATTTGATGAAGTTATGTTTTAAAACATATTAAATACAATTTAGAAATTATAAGTACGGAAGCGTATTAGTGCCACTTTGACACTTTTTTATTTTTCATTTTCCACATTTTAATCTGTAAATTTTGCACTTCAATCTGTAATTTTTACACTTTAATCTGTACGTTTTACACTTTAATCTGTAAATTTTGCACTTTAATCTGTAAATTTTACACATTAATCTGTAAATTTTACACATTAATCTGTAAAATTTATACTTTAATCTGTAAATTTTACAAATTAATCTGTAAATTTTACACTTTAATCTGTAAAATTTACATTTTAAACTGTTAATTTTACACTTTAATCTGTAAAATTTACACTTTAATCAGTAAATTTTACACATTAAAGTGTAAATTTTAAACTGTTATCTGTAAAATTTACCAATTAATCTGTAAGGGATGATTCTCTATAATGCCATTTTCCGGCCTACGATAAAATCACTAAAAATTTGATTTTATGTAACTTTAATCATTGTATTTCATGATTTTGATGTTTGTTTTTCAAAATCGATCACCTAAGTCGCGTGATTTAAAAATCACAAACGGCCGTCAAGTAAAGAAAAATTGAGGGTAGGTCTATTTACATCAAGTTTCTATGCATGTTTCTAGATGTAAATGATCAAAAATTGTTTATTTATGTTGGAAACATATCAGACTTAAGTAATAAAAGCAAAGATTGTTTAATTTAAGGCTAAAGATATTTTTTATGGCAAGAATTTTGATGCATTCACATTTTGCATATTTTGAATGTAAATCTTTATAAAATGCACCTCGTATGATGTTGAAAAATGTTTAATTAGCATTTAATTAAAAGTATTATTAAGGTCTTCCGCTCCAGGCGGAAGACCTTCTACTGATTCTGATGGTTAAGATTATTCTTATTATTCTTTTTTTTTTCCTAGACGCCAACTTTGAGACCTCATATCTTGCTCATTTCTCAACGGATTTTGCTCAAATTTGCAGGGTTTATAAACGTTACAAAACTCTATCAGAATGCTGTCAAACACTTCAAAAATTCACTTCCGCTTTTGGGTTATCTCCCTTTAAATGAAAATTTAGGACGCTTCATTTCCAGACAAAGGCTCAGAGACTACAAAAGCTGGAGTAGAAATTCTACCGAATTTAAATAATAGAAGCACTGAAGTTGTGCATATCGGTTTTTGTTTTTCAATTTCTGTATTCAAAATGGCGCTAGAGAGGGGTCAAAAATTAGAACGCCTAAAAGAGCGAAAATTTACACATATTTTCCTTTTTATCTTCTAAACTAAAAATATTTTGATAAAACATGTAGAATAAAAGTTGTGCACAATTTTAAGGCCTTTCATTTGACACCACTAAAAAGGGTCTAGCCCCTAAAATTAGGGATCTGGGGCCCTTTAAAGTTTTTGCTTTATAACTCAAAAACGGTAAATATTTCGAAATAGCTGCCGTAATTAAAGTTGTTATTTAACATCTTATTGATCTCAAGAAAATGTTATTTTGTTTGAGTCTTGTGTTCTAAATGAGCTAGAAGCATAACACATATACAGGTAAGTGTTTTCATTCAGCAAGTAAACAAGAGTTCTTCATGCGTGTAATTAAAATAAACTTACTATAAATAATAAACCTAGCTACATTAGATGCTAATATTCTTTAGAATCAGGTTCTTGAAGTATTTTGTGCTTTATTTCCAAATTATTTACTGACAACTTTCCCTTTTATTTCGTTTGTTTTCAAATTTGGATAAATCAGTCTACTAAACAGGGAAAAAAAAGATAACCTTTTCTTCTTATCATATAAAAACAAACAATAAAGTTAGAAAATAAAACAAAACTTTAAACATAGACTATTCACAGCCATTAAGTACACGCCTTTTACATTCACTTTGTGTGTTTACAATTATGTAACCCCTCCCTCGATAGCGCGTGGCAAAGGAGGTCACCGAGGATCAATCGGCGTGTGAACCAGCGACCTAAGGTCATACACAAAACAATCCATAGAATCGCCATTCCAAATACATTTTGTTAACTAAGTGATGAGTGGATAAATATGTTGAATCTTTCATACTATTTCGTAATATCTTTGATTAAGTCGCTAGTACATTTCAATTTACATGTTACAAGAAAGTTGCATATTTATTTTTATAAACATTGTATTTCTCGATGTTGAGATAATTGCGCTTTGTGGAAAATTACTTTAAAATCATTTCGAATCTTTCATATGATTTCGTCTTACTGTTTATCACTCGCTCGCTTTAATCAGCTAGTCTTAACTGCCTTTCACTTATTCACTTCAAATTCAATGCATTTTGAATGCCGAAAAGACCACTTTGTTTGCGTATTAAAGAAACGGTTTATTTATCTCTCTAATGTTATTATTTAACAAGTTGCTATTTCTTTCATGAACATTAAACAGCATGTATATAATTATCACGATAATTGTACGTAGAGGTCACATTTTTAATTGTCAGGAAAATCGAAAATAAAATTAAGTACTTTTGAGTTTGTATTATTTTCTTCCTAACTTACAGTATTATTGCATACAAAATACTAGGTCGGACGCAAGTAAGCTAAATATTTCACTTGTATTTGAAAATTCTATCGAACGTCGAAAGAATTTTACCCGTTAAAAAGTATACCAAAAAACCCTTCCTATGCAGTTTTCTTCGGGAATCAATTGGCTTAGATAGTTTGTTCCGACATGTGTTGAAAAAATTCACGCAATGAGAAGCCATACATTTCGAACTTGTGACCTCTTGGTCAGTGCATGTGAAGATTACGCATGGCAGTTAGTGTCTGGAAAACGAAGTATGTTTTATAAATGATTTGACAGATTAAGATTTGTTCTCATTCTAAATTAAATACAAACACAAACCCGTTATTTTCTTTGTTATTTTATACCGTCCCTTATATCAGACAGATTATTTTAAAAACGTGTTGTTTAGGAAGATTAATCTTATGCATTTGTTTTATTTCATCTAATAAACTGAATTTACCCATGAATTACTGGTACATGCATGTAAGTACGCGTAAATGCGGTTTTATTTGTTTATGTGGAAGAGCGCCCAAAATAAAGACACTTCGAACTCTGGAATTTCCCTATTTTACTGTTTAAATCATAGGTCCGCTCAGCTGACGAGTTGTTTTAATAACGGTAATAAATTATATTCAAGTCCTGGCCAGCGATCGTTACGGTTGGTGACACTGCAATTAAACAGGTCGATACTCAGGTACTAAGATACTAACGGGTATATATATTTTCACCTAATATGTTTTCATTAAGTGTTTTCATAAGAAATAAATTGCTGGATGATATCATGTTCTCCCTGATCACATCGATAGCGTGTAGAAACAGCGGTACATGAACACACGCTTTTGTGTACAAAGCAAACGTGTAAACCAAAAGGATGGGGAAAAAACGACGAAATAAAAACATTTCTCTATTAACTGAAATTATTGTCTTTAGACAGATAAAAATAAATGATTATCCGCCTGAGAACATGTGAAAATTATACCCAAATACAATGTAACGAAGGATTTGGGGTTTAATCCCGAGTACACAATTATAGCAATGATGTGTACATGTACATGCAGAATACCGCTTTTTTATCCTTCGTCCATGTGTTCCTCCTTAGCGGAAAAAATTATCAGTAAATTATATTATACCGAACGAGGTTGAAAAATGACGAACTTTATTTCTTAAAATTAACAGCAATTATCAGACTTTTCTCATATCACTGTAAAAATGCCCTAAAAACTAAAACCGTCTTTTTGACTTTGTCAACGCGTTTGATAGATAATGAAAAAAAAAAAAAAAACGCTGGCAGATTTAGAGGAGGTTCAGGGGGCCTGCCCTCTTTTGTATCAAAAATATACACAAGATTTAATAAATCAATTTTTTTATGTGGGTTTGGGCCCCTACCCCGACCCAAAACTGGTCGGGCCCCCTTTTCAAGACTCCTGTATCCGCCACTGAAAAAGAATGTGTTGTTCTCCTGGATGTCGATATCTGAATTATGTTTTAATTAAACACCTTGTCTAATATATCATGGGCGCCCATAATAGGACGATTATTTGTTTTTGTTTTTCAAAAAGTGGTTCTTACAGATGTTAAAAAAACTTATAAACGGCTAATTAATTATTTTATTCATCTACAACAAATGTTAGTTTAGTTCTTTGCTTACATAATCCAACTTTTATAAATTAACACGAAAGTCGTGCGATCGTATACAAATACTCAGAAGCAATCTTTCATATTTAATGAACGTATAGGTGAATAAATTTCCTCTCATCACTATACGTATACCCCCATCCTCGAAATAAATAGAAAGTTTTCCTTTCGCAGTCGGTTGGTTTTACCAGGTACATGTCAGTACAAGTGAGGATGGAGCTTTACAGAAGCAGGTGATGAATTCCGAGAGAGATAGGCACTGCCTATTTTATATACATGTACATTCCTAGGGACCTTGTTTTCTGAACCGATGTCACTGTTATTCAAAGACCTAGCTAGAAATTCTCTCTCTCTCTCTTTGAAATGCAGGCCCGTCGATTATAAAAAAAAAAAATGACAAAATAATTTCAATTTTTAATAAGTATCTCACCTTCCAAGCCAAAGACCCAAGGAAGCTTTTCTGTTCATAATTCTTCATCTTTGTTTGCTTTCTTGGTGTATATGAGCGTTATCGTCGTTGTTGTTCTAAAGCTACTTGTAAATTTTTCTCATTTTTATCAAGAACCACAGGACCATAACAACGAAAAT